CTTGCAATTTTCTCTTTTAAGAAAAATCAATAAGGTTGTTACATTCTTTTAAAGTTTTTTTAACATCTGTTACCATCTTAGACAAAGGATTCTTTTTCAATTTTATGTAAGGACCATTATCGATTAAGTTGTTAACCTTATCGTAATAGTCTTTTTTATCTAATATAACAACCTTATTTCCCTTATCAGCTTTTAGGTAGAAACAATCTTTGTTATGCAAACTCTTGACAATATTGTGCTCCTTGTTAGATTTTAATGATTTACTTGAAACGATACTTTTTGATAACTGATTTCTACAAGCCTCTCTTGTAAATACCTTAGAAGCCTCGGATAAGTGCTGAATAGCAGTTTCAACACTAGTGGAGTAAAAACGATATGAAAATGTGTAGAAAATTTTTTTGGAGGTATAACTACATGATATCTACACAGGATTATCAGTTAGGGCTTTGCGCATGTGAAATGACTAATTACGACCTTTTTGGGGGGGTCAGAAATTTTTTATCTGGGAAAATGTCAAAAACCTGTCAAAATTGTATAACCATGTCTTTTTACCTTTCCTACGCGATAACTCCTAAACTAATTATTTAATATCTGAGTAGCGCATATATCGGTGTTGATTTAATATGACATTTTATTTTTGTAATAAATAATATAATAAATAAAAAAAACATGAAAAAAACATTATTTTTATTACATAATAAGGACATATCTTGAAGTTTGCATAGGATTGACTCTTTTATTAATAATTGAAACTCTTTTATTAATTAAACTACGAATTTCTTCTTTTAATATAGGTGTTATTATTTGTGTTTTCTGATTATGCTCTTCATACCACTTACGTAAAGATTTAAAAAAAGCCTAAAAATAGCATCGGCAACTAAAGTTATTCCTTGAAAAAAGCCAGATTAAGGTGTATTCAGCCTAGCATAAATGTTAATTTCCCATGTAATCATTTACAGGGCCGACGGAAGGGAAATATTGAGACCGGGCGAATACACTACCTGGCGCCCCCCAATAGTTAACATGTTACCATAACAACTAAGCATATTTATGCTACTTTAACAATAAAATTTCACTTAAAGGTACTTCAAAATTCTTTTCTTCGTTCAATCTTAGTCCGCGGTTGTTTTTTTTTATACCGGGTGCATCTTGAAAGTTTATTTTTTTAGATAAAAAACGAAATTTGGTATGTTAGTATATGACATAAATTAGGATTGATTGACGTATTCAATTGTTTTTGGGGGGTCACTTCCTGTTTCAACGAAAGACTATTAATTTTTAAATGGCACCGTTAGTATATTTCTGGTTTATTCGATAGACAATGACACTCTGAGTAGAATGACATATCATATGTCAACTTTTGACATTTTTGCTCAAAAAATCGTATTTTAAATTTCAATCTAGAGTGCCATGGCTGTGTTAAAAACACTAATTTTTAAACAAGGAGCCTTGGAAAAATAAATTTGATCGTCTAATGTTTTTCGTGTCTTGTCCTGGTCGGTTAAAAAATGCCCAAATCGTATTTTTAATCACATGCCAATTTTTCAAATGGAACAAGTGGCTCATTTGCATTTTTGGAAAAAGAATTTTTTACGAATAATTTTGTACCACACACTTGATATTTCAAGTCAAATTGTCGTTATGAACCGTATGTTACAATTTCAAATAATCCATATGCGAAAATGTCAAAAGTTGACATATGATATGTCATTCTATTCAGATTGTCATTTTCTATCGTATAAAGTAGAAATATACCGAGGTTGACATTTAAAAATCAAAAGTTTTATTAATTTCCGGTGAAAGAGGAGGTGATCATAAACAATTGAATACGTCAATTAGTCCTAATTTATGTCGTATACTAACATACCAAATCTCGTTTTTTCATCTGAAAAAATAAACAAGTTATAGGAGTGAGCCAGTTTTGAGACGCACCCGGTATATAAATGATAAGTATAAGTGATATTTGAAAACATTACTATTTAGTTGCAAGCAATAGCATTATTTTTCTATAGAAATTTAAGAATTTTTTTTTCTTTTTCACAATCAATTATTTCGTGCAGAATCAGTACCTATAGGTATGATCAGATACAGTTCTGTCGGATTCAAAATGAGGATCAGCCAGCGTTTCAGATTTGAGATGCATTTTTTGTCTTGCTCTAATGAGAAATTTCTACGATTCTGCTACCATTTACCATGTATTACAACATATTCAATCCAGAACAATCAAAATCACCAAAAGATTGACGTTTTTCCCACTACTGTTAATAAATAAATGAGGCAAACTTACAAGCTTTTTTTTGATAATAAGGATATCGGGATCCTATTTAGCTTCTTGCGAATGAATATTTGTCTCATATAATTTTAGGGCAGATTACCCATTAACAAATAAAGGGTGTGAGTAGTAGACAAAGTGCAATTTTGAGCAACAAGGAGTCTAAAACTGTCAATTTTGCTGGCTCTTGACCCAAAACAGTTTGTTTAGAAAAATTTTATAAAAACAAGAATTATAGAAAGAAGGGTTATTTACAAAAAGCTGATAGCTTTTCACTTATAAGTAAAATACCACGAACATTTTTTTTAATATTTTAGTTGCTGCCGTGGCGCCTCTCACATTTGGCGCCCCGGGCAGTCGCCCGTGTCGCCCGGCCCTTCCGCCGGCCCTGATCATTTAGGATTATTCCGCAATATTTCGCGAGCTTGTGAATAAATGACCAAGTGTGCAGTTATATAAATATGGTTATATTTTAAAGTTTGTGCTAAATCTACTAATCTTACCATCGAAATATATATTATGGTATCACATTCGGTAGGTGGATAAGCAAGTAAAATATTTTGGAGACAAGAATTTCGTTGTCAACTAAAGTATTGTTAAAATCAGTCCAGTTTAAAAAAGTTCTTGTTTCTTCGTACTGTGAGCAGTAATTTTCGGCGACCATGGAACAGAATACTTTGTGGAGAAGAACTATATATTTTATGCATAAATATTATTGCCACGAATGTATGTTAATCGATAAGGTGTTATATAATTAGTTTTATTGACGATGATGAGGGAGTAGAATAGTCAGTCATTGTATAGTCGTTGTTTGAGAGTCAGTCTAGGCGGGACACGGCTCGTTTTCTATTTTCTGTGTTCAAGTATGAAAAGTAATAAAATAATCAAAAAGCAGTGGTTGTCTTTTAGTCGATTAGTTCATAGTACTTAACACTGCAAATAATTTGCCATGCTAGATTCTTTTTTTAGATTTTTTTCTTCTTCAAATATTTTTTTTAGATTCTTTTATACCCAACGTAATAGATTTTAATTGAGGATGTTAGGCTAGATAATATTTATTTGATCTCTAACTAGAACAAAGTGTTGTTACAAAGCCTAAGCATGGAACATTGTTAAAATTGAATTAACTTAAAACCAATAATACTTACATTATATGACTACAGTTGAATAAAAACATAGATATAATAAATATTTATATGAGAGCTTACTTCGGGTTTCTCTTATTACCGATTCTGAACCGTCCTAGAACTGTGATGCGTATGCGCAGCAGGAATTATGAAGGCATTATTTCTTTTGCGCATGCGCTGCAGAGTTCTAGGAGGGTTCAGAATCGGTAATAACAAGAACCCGAACAGAGCTGTACAGTCCGCTTTAATACGCTTCAATAATTTATTTTATATGATTTATTTAATATTAAATGCTATTTGTTCTAGGTAGAGATCAAATAAATATTATCTAGCCTAACATCCTCCATTAAAATCTATTACGTTGGGTAGAAAAGAATCTAAAACAAGAATCTAGCATGGCAAATTATTTGCAGTGTTAAGTAGGAAGAAACTTTTTTAAACTGGACTGATTTTAACAACACTTTAGTTGACAACGAAATTTGTGTTTCCAAAATATTTTACTTGCCATTTTTACAATCCACCTACCGAATGTGATACCATATACTTTGATAGTAAGATTAGTAGATTTAGCACAAACTTTAAAACAAAACCGTATTTATATAACAGCACACTTGATCATTTATTCAACCCACACTGATAGAAAGGTTTATTTATTATTAATGAACGTGCTTAATTGTTAAGCCATGGCTGATTGAAATATGGCATAATCAACGTGTATTTATATTTAATATACCATGGATCAAACCGGAATTGTTTAATTATAAAACTAGTACTTGATTCATTAATAGCTAACTCGAGTTCCTTAGAAACAAACTTTGTATTAATATTAAATACATCTACATTTTCAACAAAATACTCTTTGTTTAAAATAATTATATCTTAGGATCGTTAGAAATGCATTACTGTGTTTCAATCACTAAATAAATGGCTATTAATTATTTACAGTTTATTTAAAATTTCTCATTATATTTTACTATTAAAATTGGTTATATTTATAATTATTCAACCTTGTATTTTCGGGATTTTATGTCAATTTTTTATTAATATTTTCCCTTCTTTAAATGAATAAATATAGTGTTACAATAAATCAGCATTGCCTAATTAAATTGTATATAGTGGTGATTTTTGATTTCCTAAAATAAAAAAAACTTTATCGTAAAATGAGTGGTACGTCACAATATATAATACTTACCTAGTTGGTTAGAATAATTATCTCGGACAGTTTAAGAATTAATTTTTTTCTTACAAAACATTCGTTATTTGCATGTTATTAATATGAAACCAATAATCACCCTCTCATTTTTTGCATCCACGTATTTGGTTTGCACATTAATTTTGGATTACGTACATTAAAATACAATTAAATCTTAGAGTACAAATAAACAAACAATGCAGTAATTAGGAAATGCATCAGATTTATCATAAGCCTATATTATAGATTTAAGTTAATTTTAATTAAAACAATGTGTAAAATTTATTTAACAAAATATTTATTAAAATAGAATGTATAAAAAACACAAAGAACAGTAACTTTTACCTAAATTATGCTATAAGGTAATAAATACAAAACAAATGATAAAACATTTAAAAAATGTAAAAAACTAAAAATACATAAATACGAAAAATTGGCATTTAAAACTTATCGAAGATAGGATTCTGAGAGCGCAAGCATAAACTGCATCTAGGCTTGTCAACATAAAAATGTGTTCTAAATGACGTCACGTAAACAAAACTCTGCTACTTAAACTAACATGAACATTAAACAAAAAATAATGAGAATACTTTTAGGTAACTTTAAAATTATTAAATCATACACGAAATAAATCTGTTTCCTTTGGCATTATTGTGTATAATAGTCGGCTTAAAAAATATATCATTTACATTAATAAGCTTTTTTTCAGTCTCAATTCGGTCAATTTCAAATCCTTTGAAATGTTTATTAAGGCCAAAACATATGATCTCTTGGTATACCATATATATTTTGTTATCATTTTCATATAAAACATCCGTTATCCATCCAAAAATAGGCTCACCATAATTATTTCGTCCAACTTGTATAACAAATTCCTTTTTAAATGTTATTCCATTGATTTTTACCCAGGAAACTACATTACTATTTGAGTAATTTTTATAATGCAACAAGTTTAAACTGGAAAATGTTTTTAAAACTGAACCTACAATTATTTCATCATTGAAGCCTTTTTTACTAAGAAATCGATATGCTAAATTAAATTGACATTTTGTAGCTAATGTGTAGGGCAAGTTTATTTTACAAGTTACAGTAGATGCGCTAATTTTAAAAATTCTATGAAATGCCTCGAAACGTATAGATGAAAGTTTTTCCAGAGGTCCAACATTTATTATTGTTCTAGGATAGTGAATTAAAAAATGCATTTTTGGAGTTAGTGGATCATTAAAAAGCTCTTTATACATTTTATTATGATTAAATATAAGTTGTTTCAAAAAGCATATGTCATCTTTGTTGAACTCAGATTGAGTTGCCATGTGTATTAACTCAAACAATATAATATAAAATTTCCAGACTCTTTCTGAGGAATCTACAAGATCTCCCACGATTAATGGCAAATATGTAACTAGCGCATGCATTTCGGCCGAAGACATAATTATCATTTTATTTTGAATGTGTTTTAGGTTTATAGGTGGTATCGCATTACCAATATCTGTTCCTGATATGTAATTAAAATATTTTATTCGGTTATTGAGAATTTCAAGAGTAAAAGTTTTTTGGTCAAGGATAAAAAAATGTAAAATTCTACCCATATCATACCTACAGACACCTTCAAATAGATCGTGCATGATATCAAAATGAATATTGATTGCATTGTGGTAATAGGGCAAGTCATTCCAAATGCATTCATCTTTAATGCCAAATGTTTTATTTTCCAAATGTTCCTGATAATTTTTTACATTTCTTAGTGTATCTTCGCCTTCCACAATAATTGCTTGTGTACTTTTTTTATCTAAAAAACATGCCCGGCAAAAATAATTTGCACTAAAAGATTCTTGAAAACCTATAACCGAGTTAATTCCCAAATTATCTCCTACGATAAGTGGAGCAACAAATAAAATTTGTTGGCCAAAAATATTTAACCCTACGTTTTCTAAATACAGTAGTTCGTTAAGAAATGACTGAAATACCTTACGATTTGAAAACTCATTCCTATCTTGCGAATAAAACAAACCCCATAAAAAAATGTTTTCCAGTTTTGATGAATATTTTGGCGGGATTCCGGCAATCTTTACATAAACACCTCCGAGTTTATAGATTCCTGAATGACTACCCAGTGGATTACCAGTTTCAAAATCATCGTAATAAATTAAAAGGGGAATAACTATTTTATTGTATTTAATTTTGATCGATTTCCATAATTCTCCATTAAAAATGCTTGATAAATGATCTTTATTTTCTTCAGATTTTTGGTATTCAAGAATCGTGTTTAAAACCCCTGGTATTTCAAGAAAATGTTTTAATATTTTTCGCAGTGGAATTATTTGCCCTTCACATTTTTTAAAAGTCATATTTACAGTACTGCCACTTTTTTTGTTATCTAAAATTGAACCAATATAAAAAGGTTGTGGCTCTATGAAAAAATTAGCATTTTTTAAATATTTAATTCGCATATACTCAGTATTTATATTATGAAAAGGATCAATAAGAAACACCGACCTAAGTTTGTCTTGTTCGTTTGTGACAAATTGGTAATTAATGGTTCAATATTATTTTTTAAATTATTTAATACATTTTTAAGAAGTTCACTGGCATTTTCTACTACATCTTGTATCACAGAACGAACTACGGTGTTTTTGGAATGTAAGTTTGCAATAAAATTTAAAGCATGGTATTCATTATCTAGTACCTGTGATCCTTCAGAAATGTCATTTTTAAGAGTATTCTCAAATGCACTCATACTGTTGTTTTTTAAAAAATCATTTTCATTGACAGATGCTTCAAAGTTACTGTCATAGTTTTCTTCTTTTTGTTGACATCTTAATTGGGTTGAAAAATGATTGGCAAACAAATGTTTTTTTAAGCTTGATATGGAATTAAATTTCTTGCTACAATTTTCATGACAACACAAAAAAGAATTAAGAAGATTATGAAATGCTTTAATATGATTTACGTAGTTTGAATTGTTATTCAATATTTTCATACATGTTTTACAAATCATTTTTATTACTAATTTTAAATAATGGTACCAAGAGATGAGATGTTTTATAATTTACGTATTCTCTAAAGAAAAATTATGATCTATTTTTTATTTTATTTATGATATCGAGTATATTTGGGATATTATCATATTTTGTATGAATATTGTAAACACTTTTTTGTAAAAATAACCAAACATGCTCTGCTTCATACGGATATTTCAAATCAAAGATTGTGATTATTTGGAAACAAGTATCCACGCCTTTTAAAACTGAATTTACTTTGTAAAGTATATTATTAAAACTCACATATACGTTGGAAATATTGTTATAGCTTGCCCCTTCAATGATTACAAATGGTTGTAAGGTCAGGCCATACTTTGCAAGCTTTTTCTTTTTGTCCTCTATTGCTTTGGGGATGTCGCCTGGAATCTAAAATTGAAGAATTAAAATTACTACTTTTTCCTTTTAAGACCTGATCATTTTACACACCTTAACATGAGAAACAATCCCTTCTTTGCACTCATCGGTTGATGGGATCCATGCCTTGGAGCACCTTTTAAATTGTTTTGGGGGGAGTAGCGAGATTAAAAGAGAAAGTTGAATATATTCTCGGGTATCTTAAACAAAAAATATGTTTGAAGTGAATTCTAATGGTACAATTTTTGAACTTACTAGATGCAAAATTATCTTGAGGATTTTCAATAATATCTAATAGAAGGTGTTCATTTTTATTAAGCGTTTTTCTCCTTAGGTCCACCAATATTTTAAAAATGTTGTCAAATCCGGAAAATAGTTTACCATAGGACTCTTCATGGAGTTCTTTGAAATCCCAATCTATTAGGGTGTGTCCCATAGGGTTTTTTAGAATGTTAAATATCTTTGTTAGTTCGTCGTTTGGTATTGAAGAACTTTCAAGTAGATTTTTGCGATATTTGAAAGTGCTTTTCCACTTTTCTTCGACAGTATGCCAGGGCTCAGTATTGTGTTGCAACCACAAAAGATCGTTCTTAGTTTGGTCTATATAAAAAAACAAAACAAAATATAAAATGCTTATACAAGTTATTGATTAAAAATGGAGGGTGTACAAGGTGATTTAAAGGTGATTTACAAGGTGATTTAAATTCAATGTAAACTCCTATAATTTTGTTATTTATTGAGTTAAAAAATATATTACAACTAAAAATGTATGGGACCATGGGAAATCACCCTGTACCGTTTTGGCGCATTTTAGGATGAATTAAAAAAATTGATTGCGTTCACGGCGAGTAACAACGGGAATATGACGAAAAGACTCAACATGTGCATTCAAGTAGGCGCCCATATTTTTGAACATTTACACTTCGTCATAATAATAATTAATCATTAAGTAAGTTAAACTTTATTAAAATTATAATTATCTGTTATACTTACGTGTCTGGAAAAAATCTAGAAAAATAAGGATTACCAAAAAACCAACGTAGAAATTGAAAAATCGAAATAAATCGAAAAATATCAAAAATAGGTATATAACTTATTTAACAAAAGTTGAAGGGTTTTTTTAGATCTATCAGAAAAAATAATAACATACAGGGTGTACCATTTGAAAAAATTGAATTTTTTTTATTTAAATGTATCAAAATATATTAAGTTTTTTTGAACACCCTGTAGCATACAAATTAAACTTCTTTATTTAATTCTTTTCCCTTGCCTCTGGAGGACACTCATACCAATTTATGTTTTTTTTATTTTCAGAATGTTGCAACTGGCATTTTCTTACGATATTGAAATAAAAGTTTTTACAAAAAAATATTAAATATTAGGTAAACTACTGGGTTTATGTATACAATAACCTTAATAAAAAAGGTAAGGAATTTTATGTAGAATCCGAAAATAAATTTAAAAATAGGGTGTTCCATCTAAAAAAAACATGTTATATTCGTCACACTTTTTTGAGCCACCCTGTATACTCGAAAATATTTTTAAACTATGCACGTTACCTATAGGTATACGTTACCTATAACATATAAAAGTATTGAACATTTTTTCGTAATTCTCCAAATTAACGAGATAATGAACTTTAATCTATCGTTGACTCACCCGTACAAATGTTCATTAAAAAAACAAAAATATTTAAAAAATCAAATCGAAAAATATTGTGACCTAACAAAGTTTGGTTAAATCGTAGAATTTTGACCTAAAGAAGTTTTTATGTCCCATTCGTCCTGAACCACCCTGTATATTAGCAATATTCTAAATAGTTTCAATACCGCAATTTTTATGATCTTAAAAAAATCTTATACCTAATCTTAATAATACTACTAACCTTCTATGCTAATTGATAAAGAGACTTGTAGTTCATCAGCATCATCACTTCTTCTACCTGTCTCCCTCTGGGAAGAAATCAGGCCAGCTTTCCTTAAAAATGTGAGGCGATTTCTATATTTGTCAGTTAGTTTCCCCCTAGCAAATCCAGATTTGTTTTCCTTTGAGAATTTTTTTTTCAATGGTTCAATAAAATACGTTGTTTTTACTTCCTTGGGGAAAACTGTGATTATATTATCCGCAATTGCATCAAAATCTTCATTTGTGAGTCTTCTAAAAATCAATTAAGTATACAATAAAATACGTGCATTTTTACCAGATAACTAAATAAGTTATTGAACTTACTGAAAAGTAGGCTGATTTAAAAAATGCTGCACGATCACATCACACAAATATCCTTGGTACTTAGGTTCAAATTCTTGGTATTTATTGTAAATAGCAACTAAAGCTTTTCCTGTTATGGATTCTTCCAGAAGTTGCGGAAGGTTAAGACTTTGTATGTCCAATCTTATACGTTTCGAAGGATTAATGTCTTTAATGGTATTTAAAACGTCACGACTTGGGCTAGATCTAAAATTAAATTATATTATTTTTTTATCTGAAAAATGGTGAAATTTTGAACCTATTTGCTGTGACTTCACCCACGTTATTTTCTTCCGAACTAAGAAACAATACTGTTCTTTCCTGAAAGCATTTTTGAGCACCTGATGTACAGGGCTCAGTTATTGGCGTTGAGCTCAACGTAGGTAAACTAATTGTTTCACTATAGTCAATATCTACAACTGCAGGTACTTTGCTGCAAAAAAATAAAAATGATTTGACTTAACAAGCGTTCTAGAAGGTTGTCTAAAAAGTCACAAATAACAATTATTGTTTTGTCGTAAACACAGTAGGCTTTATAATGTAAATATTGATTTATTATTAATAAACACTTTCTTATTAGCCCTCCATATGCTTTGTAAATAAATAACCCTATTTTAGTATAAATAACTTTTGCTCGTCAGGGTTGAAAACCGCCATTAAATAAAGTTTTAATCGTTTTAAGCCTACTAATCTCATAATTTTTTATTTATGTTAATATTGCTACTGCAAGTACCTACATTTTAAAAAAATCTCAGAACTTACCTTTTTTGTGATTCGAAGTCTTCATGTTTGCGCAACGCCTCCCTTAATTTTAATCTTAGCTTTAAAGATGGAAATAATTCCTTGAATTCCTCTGATTTAAGTAAATTTGATAACAATTCAATGCTATCTAACTCATAAGCTATATAAAAAAAGAGAGAAATATTGTTAACTAAATATTTAATTTAAACCTGTATTGCCTTATATACCTTCCAACACAGGATAAATCTCATCATATATACCATTACTTTTTAGAAATATCTCGATCTCTGTCAAGGTCATCGCCGCCGCCGTCGTTTGCAACTCGGAAGCCGAAGATGCCGAAGTATCCATCAAATCATCTAAATCGTTTATCACCCGACCATCTAAACCAATTATGCAACACTTCTTCGGCAAACTCATAGTCCGTTATTGATAGAATACGCTCAAGGACTCAAGCACAACGCTTATGGCTTAATAGCTAACTCTTACGCTGTATTAAACAGTAAACACGTACAAAATTAATCCGCACAAGTCAGAACGACGAACTGAAGAACATCACCGGACACCAATAATAATAGATACCCACACAAACCGCAGTGAAACCAAAATTCGGAAATATCGCCTATGCCTATTTTTTAAAAGGAGTTAAAATCGTCGCGTCATTCTATCTTAAAACGTAAAAGAAACGACTGACTGCCCCAGTGCCCCGTGCCCCTCCACCCTATTTCATTTAGGACGCGACGCTATAGGCATTACCGAGAATTAAAAATTCCTAGATTACAATATAATATCTTTATTTTATTATAAATACAATGGGGCTTTCATAAATTTATGTAGATTTATTGGTAAGACAGGACTGCTATTTATTAATCAATAATGCTTAGATGCAAAAATAGTCTGTTTTATCTAGATAAGATATTCTTTAATAATAAATACATAATATTATTATGTATATTAAATAACAATATATCGGTTTAATAGTTAAACAAGATAAATAAAAATGTTTTTTAGAAATCTGTTGGGTTAATAACAAATAAATCAGTAAGTAATAAGGGGGTGATTATTAAATAGTACAGATGTATGCATATGCATGCTTATCTTTTAACAATTTACTATTTAGAAGCCTAAAATATTAATATAAAATTAATTTTATTCATGATAAATAAATACTATTGGAATCCACGACGGAATAATAATAAAGTACTTTTTTCTATCAGTGCACCTTGCGAAATATTACGGAATAGTCCTAAATGATTATATGGGAAATTAACATTTATGCTAGGCGGAATGAACCTTAATCTGTTTTTTTGTCAATATTGGGTATATTTTTGGAGATGGAGGCCTTTTTGTCATTTTTACGGAAACAGATAATTACGTCTAAAATACTTGTACAATGATGTAAGATGAAAAATAATATTCCAGGGCTATTCGAGGAATAACTTTAGTTGCCGATGCTCTTTTTAGGCTTTTGTTTAAATCTTTATGTAAGTGGTATGAAGAGCATAATCAGAAAACACAAATAATAATACCTATATTAAAAGAAGAAATTCGTAGTTTAATAAAAGAGTTTCAATCATATACAAACTTCAAGATATGTCCTTTTATTATGTAATAAAAATAATGTTTTTTCATGTTTTTTTTATTTATTTATTATTTATTACAAAAATAAAATGTCATATTAAATCGACACCGACATACATACGTGCTACTCTATTAAATAATTACTTAAATAATATATAATAATAAATAATTACTTAAAAATAATTTTCTACATTTACTCTAAAACATAAATTAATGCCACATCTAGCACGCCGTACAACGTGATGGAGGCCGGGCGGTATTTTTCCGTTTGCTATACGGCTAGCACAACCGATTGCGTTAATCGCATAGGAAACGGACTCGAGACCTGCAACTCCGTTTACTAAGTGGTTAAGGCAACCAATGCAAATAATATTATTATAATGAGTCATAATATTATTATAATGACAGGTGGACCTGCATAGATATTAAATTTAATAAATTTAAATTAATAATGAGATATTTTTATTCTGGATTCCAAAAAAAAGCAACATAATTGAGATATAAATCTAATAGGTAACTTTTAACAATTTATATGCTAATATTGGCAAGGCAGTTCGGCAACACAGCTTTAAGACGTGGTTGATATGTCAATCTGTTTTTTTTTAATAAATAGTGCTGAGTCGGAGGTTGGTTTCTTGTGAAACATCGTTGAAATATTATAATTTTAATAAAACACGGTTTTAGATGTATCAAAAAAAAATAAAAAGAGTAACTTAGTTAGGCATTTTTAAGAGTTCTTTAAAATCTAACCGTCTGACTACATTTTAAGGATATATAATACCGTATGATCGAAAAAAAAATGGCGACCAGTTGGCTTGGAAATGACGATCGATGACATTTTCCATATAATTTTACATATAAAATGACAGCGATCTTCATTTCATAGCCATCGCTGACTCCGTTTTTATTCGATCATACGGTATATTTGCTATGGTGGTGGATTTAAGGAGTTTACAATAGGGGTAATAAAAAATGTGTTTAGAAATCCTTGTTGGTAGTTTACATTATTGTCGTTTTTAGCTGATTTTAATATTTCTAACTATTCTAGGTAATTTAAGCATCTGCCTTTTATTTCTCTATATAATAACTTAATTGAGTTTTCATTAACTGTGTAACTATTTAATATACAATGAGTTGCTAGACTGGAACTTTGCTGGAGATTATTAATAGATTTTATATGTTCTTTAAACCTTATATCTAAATTTCTACCTGTTTGACCTATACATACAGGATGGGTCAGGGCCGGATCTACCTAAGGGCTGTTTGGGCTGCAGCCCAGGGCCCCGAGGTTAAAAGGGGCCCCCAGACCCCGCTTAAAACAATAGACCCATAGGTGGGAACTGTTGAATCGTGAAATAAAATTAAAATTCACGTTAAAAAGTTTAAGCCAGACCAGATGGTTTTGCCACTATGATGCTGTCAAAGCCTTAAAAATAATTATGATGACATTATAAAAATTTTCGAAAGTTTCAACGAAAATGAGATTGAGAAAGTTGATTTCCGGAAAGAGGCACGAAATTTATTCAATAAAATGGCGAAACTCGAGACTGCCATTTTGATTATCTTTTGGGAAGAACTTTTGCAGAGATTTCATTTAGTTAATAAAAAATACGCCTGGTTTAGACATTTGTGAAGGCAACAAGTTAATTGTGTCATTAAAAGACTTTGTGAACAACATACGATACCGATCAGATCAAAAGCTAAAGGAATACGAAGAGAAAGCTAAAAATTAAGTACTAGTGTGGGGATAGACTACAATGACGTAAACAAGAGACGCATTATTCCAAAATTTTCAGATAAGTCTACAGGTGAATTCTCAGTATACGGCGCGGCGCAGAAAGAAGAAAGATTTAAAAGAGACGCGTTAAACGTTACTTTGGATAAGCTGATTATGGATTTAAATAAAAGGAGCCAAGTCTATGAGACATAAATACAGCAAAAATTCAAATTTTTAATGGATTTGCAAGACAAAAATATCGAAAACATAGATTTGGAAATTGCACGTCATATTATTGATTACTATCCCGATGACGTAGACGAGCATTTAGTGAATGAGTGCATTCAATTAAAATCGTCTTACACCTCTTGCAGTGATATTTTTATGCTCATGTATGAAAATAAACTTATTGACGTGTTCCCTAACTGCTATACCATTATAAAGATTTTTTTTTGAAGATCATTGCCAATCACTAGGTAGCTGTGAAGCAGAACGCTTCTTCTCCAAGTTGTCCTATGTAGAAAATAAATATAGGACAACAATGTCGAACCATCGACTAAATAATTTATCACTTCTTTCCATAAACTGTGATCTAACAAAAGACTTGCAATGTGATGGCCAAATAACTGTCAATTTCTGTGACTGCAACCTATCAATTTCTTTTACTAATTCATAATAAATAAATAAAATTGTTTTATTGTTTTTTTATATTCTTATATAATATCGCTATTTCGGTTTCTCTCTCATCCAAAGGTTGCCTGGAGGAGATTGCCACCACAGCAATAAGTCGCCTTTTGTACAACTAATACTTGCGTAGATTTAAGTAACATTTATGTTTTTTTTTTGTGCAATAAAGAATATATAATAATAATATATCATTATAGAAACAGTTTTTTGACATGGCTATTAGTTGAGTACTTAGGTAGCCCCCTAAGTAGTTTCAGCCCAGGGCCCCACAAATTAACGATCCGCCCCTGGGGTGGGTCAAATTCGACGCTTTTAAATGGAAACACCCTTTTCTATAGGAGATAGACAAAAACTGGTATCAGTGTCTGGAGCTCAATTTTTGTCAAAAACATGATGGTGAAAACCGCATACCGATATCTGTTACCGTTTCGGAGTTACGGGGTGTTTTTCAAAAATATGCATTTTTAACAAATCGCTGTAACTTTTTTGCTATGGAAAATGTTGTATTTTTATGAAAACATTTCCAAAGCAGCTTTTTACGTAGAATTTAATGGTTTAAGTATAATTTTTTTAAAATTAATAATTTAAGAATTATCAACAGAAAATTTAATTTTTTATATGGGACACACTGTATATTTTTAATTTATTGAAAATAATTTAAAATTACCTTTCCAAAAATATAACACACTTGATATTTTGCTCGATTCCTCTTCGAGATATAGAGTATATAAAATTCGCCCGCTTTAAATCAGTATTATAGGCTTTGAACGGCACCGGCTGTAATGCAAAAAAATTCTAGCTGTGAGCATCAATTAAAACGAAAATAATATTTGCCATGAGAGATGCAGAATTTTGTAACAATTTAAAATATATTTAACCACCATCAACACATTTAAACTATATCTAATAACAATAACAATAAATAGCAAACCAAGACATGAGATTTGCTACAGGTGTTCGACAGTCTTCTGTTATGGACAGACGGGACAGTTTTTGAACATTTCTCGCGGAATTCATTAACTCAGTAGGGGTGAAAGATACCCTCTCATAACTGCTAAGTATTTCTAATTCTTGTCTAGATTATACGGAAAAATAAGGAACCTTTATTCTTCCGCAAATATATCCATAGAATTAGATCCATGGGCACTAAGTCAAGCATTGGCCTCGACGGCCAACGGCTGGGATCTTGGTTAGCTATCCAATTATTCTTGAAATTGGCTGCAAAAATTTGCTGATAACTTCAGCGTCCAGAGGCGGTGCGTCGTCTTTCTGAAAAAACATGTTTTCGAGTTCCATTAAGGGCATATCATCAATGAGGGGTCCAAAGCCTACTAGTTAAAAGTGGCGAACTTTTAAAAATTCTGTATTTCGAAGGGGATTACAACAAAATATCAAGTGTGCTATATTTTTGGAAAGGTAATTTTAAATTCTATTC